GCAATTCTTGGACGAGCAAACTGTTATCAAATCTATTATGCAGAATTTGAGAGCTCCACTGAACAGTTTGTTTGAAAAAGACGTAAAGTCGAGCTGGACTGATGAGTGCCAGAAGGCGTGTGTAGAATTCAAGAAAATAGTCAGAAAGTCAGACTTATCATGAGCATACTACGATCCAAAAAGCAGAAATCTTATTGGCTTCAGATTCTAGCGACTATGTTGTAGGAGAAGTAATTCTATATAAATATAATCACGGTAACATGAAAGCCCTAGCACGTGCTTCACATTCGCTACTACCGGTAGAGAAAAAAAAACTACAGCCAGATCGAAAAATAATAAAACTTATACACGGAAAGAGTTTTAGTCTACAGGCGGACCACCGACCACTAAAAATGGAAATATAGTGAATACTTTACAAAGTTACAAACATTTCTAGGACTGGCAAAATATTATCAAATCTATATACCTAATATATGCAGAATAGATTACAACAAATAGATTACGACGCTGGGGTAATATTTTATTGAATTATGACTGGTGCACATTATGACTGGTGCACATTATGCTACAAGTTCCCCAAACGACACTCCGCAAGTTTTGAGTTCAGAGTTGCCCTTCTTTTAGCTATAGGAACCAATCTAGCCTCCGCTCAGGTCGGAGTATTAGCACGTACTCTAATGAACTCGACCGGAATTCGATCTCTGGTCTCTGATTCCTCAATCGGAACCGCTATGCATTACTCCAACATGATATGTATGTATGTATGTATGTATGTATGTATGTATGTATGTATGTGCGTGTTTGTGTGTGCGTGTGTTCGAGAAATCAAAAGACAAAATTATAAAAATATTGACAATATGACCAATGATATTTATTTTATATTAATTTCCTTTTGACTAAACGAAGAGGAAGATTTTAAAGTCGGAATTTTCGGACACGCCTGTATTCTTTATCAACGAGATCATCCGGGAGATTTTGTTGTTGTTTTATTTTGCTTATATATATATATATATATATATATATATATATATATATATATATAAAGTTCAGTTGAAAACGAACATGAAACAGTAGTATTAAAAAGTGCTCAATAAAGGTGTGAAAAAATAAAATAAAAGTAAAAATAACATGTAGAGTTTTTAACTTTTAAAATCAGGAGGTCAGTTGACTTTGATTTTCGCCTTACGGTCTCATCGGCCGATTTTTTATCAACTGACCACCTAACGCTTTTTAATAAATAAAAAAAAACACGAAGATTTCTACATTATTATTTTCAAAAATAAATAAACAAATGCACGACGATCAAACACATGGCGTTAAGTGTAATAGAAAGAAGGAGGGTGTGGAGAAGGATGAAGAAGAAGAAGAAGGGTGAAGAGAAGAAGAGAAAAGCAAGCGTATCGTAGATGCATAAAGAAAAGAAAGAAGAAAAGAAAAAACAATGTAACACAAATATAAGGAAGAGTGTATCGTAAATGTAAGGAAGAGTGGGAAGTGAAGAAAAGCAGACGTATTGTAAATATAACAGTGGGGTTCGAAATTACATTTTTTTTTTTTATCCAGCCTCATATTCACTTAATAAGAAATTTTGATATGAAGGCAATAACATAAAATTTCGGATTTCTGGTTTAAAAGGTTTTTGGATCCGGAAATGTCATAATCGTTAATTTCTCATGTTGACATAGTTCGCAAATGCAGTTAGGACTGCTGTATGGCTTTGCCTTTTTAAAAATTTTCCACCTTATGAACGGATCCCTGTTGTTTTTTTTTGTTTTTGTTTTTTTAAACTCCACATATGGCTAGCAAGTTTGGTGGGGTATCTAATGATTGACTAGCTTAAACGATGATCTATGGTTATACCATCTACGCTTAAAAGAACCTTCTGTACATCATACATGTTTTATTTTGACCATTAATATCTGTTACTTCTGCTTTATACATTACAGCTTCTGTTTTACAAGCTCCATTTAATGGGCATCTATCCTTATTTCTGCAGTTGCATAAATTACTTGTTATATCTTGCTGCACGTTAGTTTTGAGATTTCTGGTATTTTGTCTATTTATAATAGCTTCTAAATTACTAGTTCAACTGTAGCTTAATTTAACTGCATTTTTATTGAATATCTAATGCAATTCTGAATTTTTTGTGAAGTGTTTAACAAGTAATTTGAAAAATAATTTACCTATTTTGCATTTTAACTCTAATTTAAAAGGCGGATTAAACCAAATAATATTTTTCTTTTTCTCGAATTGTTCTTAGTCTAATTCTAGTTTGGTTTTGTGGCCCCCCTACCTCTAAGTTCTTCTCATGTTCTTCCTTTTTTTTTCTTCTAAGAGAAGGGTTTCTGGATAAGCTAGACTCTATTCTTTGGGTATATTCTTAATTATATTCAGATGATGGTTGCATCTAATATTAACATATTTCAACTCGGCGTTAGGTTTCATGTACGGAGAGACTCTGCCAGTATGAAGATTCAATTCTACGACCAGATAGTCGAAACCAAGGTCGCGTATTCAACTGACCTCCTGATTTTTAAAGTATATATATATATATATATATATATATATATATATATATATATATATATATATATATATGATCGAAATAAAAGTGTAAAATTTAGTATTACAAGACATATTAAAACAATGTTAAATCATAAAAAAATATATACAGAAAAAAAATATATATATGCATATATACAGGTATATATATGTACATATATGTATTTTTTTTTTTCCACCTATTCTGATTGTACCTTCTCTGTTTTAATTTTTGATCTCCTGTGGAAGTCTGATGAGCGGGAGCGAAACTGGTTGCTTGCCCCCCCCTTGTTGAGTGTTTTTTTTATTATTTAACATTGTTTTAATATGTCTTGTAATATTAAATTTTACACTTTTATTTCGATCATTAAATTTTGTACCTACAAAAAATATCTTTTAATAATATATATATATATATATATATATATATATATATATATATATATATATATATATATATATATATATATATATATTTGTCTATTTCGAGCGAATTTTAAAATTATTAACCTGTTTCTTTCATTTCTTGTTGATCCGTGTCGATGCGCGATGTGCTATGAAGAACTGGATTTATTCGTCATGTAGTTAACCAATTGCTTTCACACTTACATTGTACCGCAGAATTGTGTTAACTAGAATTCGCTGAGACATGCCGTTGATGTTGACCGTGTCACTTATTCTTCCCCATCAATCACTGCACATAAATTCAATGTATTGGTCTGTTGATGTTTGCTTATCGATGTAACTGGAGAGCTGTTTCCATGTTTCATGATTTTTTCATTGAGGTTTTCTCCTCTGGGCAACTAAGGATTTGTATGACCCCTACCCATTGATCTTTATAACACAGTTGCCACGAAATAATTTGCACACCGCTAACAGACTTTGGTGACGATTGATACGTCTAAAATATGAAATCAACTTCCCCCCCCCCAGGGAAACGTTATGGTCCAAAATCATGTCACCCATACATCATGTAATTTCTATTTCAGATGGCTGACAGGAGCTCCTACACGAAAAGGATGGTGTTCATATAGGCGTTCTCGGTGTGTTACAGCGTCAATGAAAGTGAATAAAACTGAATCCATTACACGTCCTTTGAATTACTGGTTCTTCTCATTACTTTCTTGTAGGAGTGACAAGACTTTCGGACCACCCTATATATATTGATCGTATCGCCCACGGTCAGGTAAAGAGATAAAAGTGTGAATAAGCAAGGCCCGGGAATTTCTAGACATCGCAAGACCTAGCAATTGATTTAATATGATGAAGTGTAAAGATTCTATGGAATCACCTGTTATGTCTGCGGCGAGCAAAGTAGGTTCACTCAGCTGTGCTAGACATTTATTCTCGCCACGATTTATCGTATACATTTGTTTAACTTTCATTCGTCTGTTGCTATCACATATGCTCTGGATCATCTGCTATGTATTTAGAGATTCTTGATAACATCCAATGAAGAATCTGCAATGTTATTGGTACTGACCTGGCATCTCAGCTTCAGTCACGTAACGCAGTTTCCCTGCTCCTTTTTTTTATAAATATTTTCATGGTAATTGTTTGGATCAGTTTTTGCTCTTTGGTACCTAGACTAGGAATTTTAGATCAGTGCTAGACTGAAGGCAAGGTCTCCTCATATTAACAGATTCACCTCTCACTCTTCTCGCTTGTGAAACGCTCTTCCGGCTTTTTGATTACAAGTTAACATTTTTCTTCAAATGTTTAAATGCAATGTCAATCGTTATCATTAATTCCTGTTATTTCATTATTTCCCCTTAATAATGTTTTTTTTTTTTTTTCACATATTCTCTCACACTCAGTGATCCCTTGAATCTTAGTTGCTTTATTGCCTTGCTTGGGATGAAATGATTGAAAAAAATGAATAAAATTACAAAGATAAGAATAAGAATTTTTCAGTGAAAAATGTTAAATTGTCTTCCAAGTAACAAGACCACGTTTCACAAATTACAATTTTAGTGAACTTAGCAGAAAATATTAGTGACATTATTACATTGCTTCGAGGGAAACAATTTAAAAAAATGGCAAAAACTATTATACTGCTCGGAATATATCTGCATCGGTGTAAAACTCTGATATTGACAGAACCAGCAGAGAATGGGCCGGTCGAAATAATAACACGCGAAATGTAGGAAATAAAAATACTTTAGCATGAAATGGCCAACTGAGTCGTATATCTTGCAGTTTCAAGTTCACGACTTTAACCCAAGCACTTTCTAATTGCCTCTTATGTATGATCGAAAAGTGTACATTCAAGAAGCGGATATCTTCACACGACAAATAAGTTTTATTATTTAAGGACTGTCCAAGATTCTCGTGGCCTCTCTACAATATCTCAAAGCTGTTCGGGCATTTGATTGAATATGTCAGCCAGAAATTTATTTCCAAGAAGTGGACAGTGTCCAACTAAGTAAAAAATAATGTAAAATAAATGTGTAACTTACGAAGTGTGTGAGAAGAAAAGTGGGAGAAAGAGGACACAGATACAGAACGCCCGTGCGCATGCGTAGGTGTGGGTGTGCCGTATGCGAGAAAAAGACAGCGAGGGGAACAATTCCTGTATTTCTGTGAATAGAAAGTCTTCGATTAATCAGTTCCAGTTCAAGTGATGTCCGACCCGAAGTCCACTCTCTTGGCATTCATAAAAAAATATCGGCCGCTAGTCCCAGTGTGGAGCTTCCAACCATATATATTTTTTCTCGTTTTCATTTTATATGACTGTTATGACCCCTACCCCGCCTCGTTGGTGAAAGCAACGGACAAGCGGTAAAAAGATCTGCAGTTCGGAACCAAATTTTGCCCAGAAGATTGTCATTGAACATAACACGATAAAAAGCAAGGTATCCACGTGAAATATATATTTTTATATACAAAAACGTCTGTCTGGAAATTATTCAGCCCTTCTGAATATCCGAAGGGACAGTTGTGCGGTCTTTATATATCTTGGCTATGAAAGAGTACTGTACCTGAATGAATCATGTCACTTTTGTGGTGATTGTTCATTTAAAGTTAGACGAGACTGAGTAACAGTGTGTACTTTGCGGCCATCACATTCACAATTGTTATTTGGCAAAAGATCACATCTCCAGATCTTTCAGGACTTCTTGCTGCCAAGATTTGGCTGCCTGCATCATTTGACTTTTACCAAAACTAAAACCACGGTTGAAGTGGGAAGAGGTTTAGACCGTAGATGAGATTGTGTGTATAAAATAGAGAAGAGTATTTAAGGATTAGGAATGAAAATGTTCTCCACTAACATTGAGGAAAATTCGACGTCACTTCTAATGGTTTGAAAGCCAGATAAAGTATCGAATTTGAATACATTGGAAAGTCTATTAATCATCAATACTATTGTTCCTGAACTGGCAGCTTGGCTTTACTTACTGGAAAGAGTAAATTTAATCATTTAGCTTTCAATTAAATCTAAAGGGAAAGCTTAAAAAATATTTTAAATTTTTAAAAATTAATTTTAAACCTCAGGTATCGCGAATTGGTGGCGGTCCCTATTATAAATTATAAACAAATTCTAAACTAATAATGCACTGAATCTTAAGCAACTTTTAGCTAAAGAGATGAATAAATAGGGAAATAGGATGAATAAAATTATCTTCATGATCTATAAGCAGAGCCATATTTTTTTTCACCAAATGCGTCTTCATGAAAAATAATTCAGGCTAGAAAGAAATCATTAGATTAAAAATTACATCTCGTTCGTTTAGTATACTATGTGTGTGTGTGTGTGTGTGTAAAATGAAGGAATGCAAATTATTAAGCAATTAAAAATAAGATATCCGGTAAATAATAAATAAGGAAGAATGATGAATTCCTAAAAAAATCAGCAATATTATTGGTCCTGATCTGGCGGCTCGGCTTCAATCACATTCCAAACGTCGTAATTTTGCTTCTCTGCATCTTTTCTATAAATACTTTCATGGTAATTGTTCAGATGAGCTTTTCGCTATCGTACCTAGACATTTTGAATTTAAGCGCAGTACAAGACTGGCGTCAAGACCTCATCAATTTACAATTGAGCAGGTAAATTCTATGCTAACAACTTCATTTCTAGCGCTTCTCGCTTTTGGATCTCCCTTCCGGTTCCATGCTTTCCAACCAACTTTAATCTGCAACATTTTAATTGCAATGTCAATCGCTATCTACTGTCCTCCTGCTTACTCTTTTTCTTTTCCCGCGCATTATAAATCTTTCTGTTCCTAATTCTTCTACACCCTGTAAACCCCTTGTGTCTTTGTGGCTCTATTACCTTGCATGCGATGATACAGATTTTAAAAAAACAAATCCACCTGTTTCAGGAACTTACAGGTTGTTTATGGACAGGGAGAAGCTCAGGAGTGAAAACGAAAAACCAAAAGACTGCATAACAATGGATCAAGTTTCAGGAATGCAGTTTTACACTGTAAAACATATCCAAGTACCGGGTGTGAAAGTGACCACCTTCCAGTGATATGTAAACTTAAAATGAAATTAAAGATGGTCAAGTAAGCAACCGATTTGCAAGACACGTGAATTATTCAAATTTGAAACAAAAGTTATACGTTAAGCGTTAAAAGCAGATACAAAGAACTAAATGACAATGGAAATAAAAGAACACATTCAATGAAAATCTAGCAACATCAGCAATTCAGGTCATCCAAATGAAAACTAGACGAGAAAAAAAGAATGGATGACAGATGAAATTCTCGACATGACAAAAAGGAAGAAGAGAATATCAGAACAGAATATAGTATATTGTACAAATAAATGCAGGTAAGCTAAGTAGGAATGGCTCAACGAAAAATGTGCAGAAATAAGAAGAATGAGTATTACAGATAAAGCAGACATGCATTAAAAACATAAGAGAACTAACAGTACAAAAGAACAGGATGCATAAAATACAATTACGGAGAACTGATAATAGATCAAAGAAAATGCATCACAGATGACACGAATACATCGGAAAACTCTTCCATGGCGACTGAAGGCAGCCTACAGTACCTAGATATATTGAAGGACCAGAAATATTAAAATCTGAAGTGAAATCAACACTGACCAAATTGAACAAAAAAGTGCATTAGAACCAAACGGAATTGTAATATTTTGCAGCCTTAGATGATTTCGGCATTGGCAAATTTACAAACATATTAAATGAAATATACAACAGTAACGATATACCGGAAGACCTAAGTAGATCTATTTGCATAGCACTGCCTAAGAAGCCAGGTTCAAACGAATAGAAACTCCATCGGACAAACAGCCTAATGAACCATATAACAAAACATCCGAATTCTGATAAATAAAGAGTGATGACTCATTAAGGACACTGAAACAAGAATGCTATATATATATTCAGAATTATATCAGAAAGAGCAATAAAAATGCAGATGGTGGTGTACATTAGTCTCATATATTAGGCAAAAGTGCTTGATAAATTACGTCACAATGAATTGTTGGAACTGCTATTTGAACTTGATTTACTTTCGGATGTTATTAGATTAACAGGGAACTTATACTGGAAACAAACCACCTGCAAGCGGATAGAAAATGAATTCAGTAAATATACAAAATTAGAAAGAGGGGTGAAAATGTTTCTTCTCGGAGGATTTATTCGAGATTTACGGTGAAACCACTCTGAGAGAAGAAATCCTACCAGTTTTCTTTATTGGCGGCTACAAATTTAACAATATTGGACATGCAAATGGCATCCTGTTAATAGCAGACACAGAAAGAAAACTACAAGAACTCCGTCAGAAAAGTAGTAAAAGAAAGCGAAAAGAAAGAACTAAATATCAATTGTTATCAGTAAAAGAAACGGTCCAATATGGCAAAGCTAAACAAGTACAAAAATTTAAATATCTAAGAAACTTTCTTTTTTTTTTTTTCTTTTTTTTTTTGGTGGGGGGTTGTTTTTGGTTTGTTTTTTGTTTTTGGTGGGGGAGTTGCAAAGGTCGGCAAATGCGACATAGAAATACTAAGACGTATTAGGATAGCGAAAGCTATAAAAGTAATCAATTACAGAAAGAGGAATAGTGAGTTAGAATCAAAGAAAAGTGTACGGGACTTGCAATATCGATACTCGCATATGGCAGTGAATGCAGGACAATTTCATCAAAGATGAAAAAGAGACTTCATGCAACAGAAACAAAGCAAAGAGTACTGGACTCTTATGTAATATCGGTACTCCTGTATGGTACTGAATGCTGTGCAATCAAATGAAGGGCCTTGGAGCAACAGAAAAAAACCCTGAACTGAATATGTGAGCAACGATCAAGTTTTATAGAGAAAATGAGACAATAATGACACTAATATGTATTACCAGGAAGAGAAAGTTAAAATCTCTAAGGATCATAATGTGGAAGGAAGGCTTGGAGAATTTAATACTCACAGGACATATCGAAGTCAAGAGGGCAGAAGAAAACAACGTATATTCTACCTGCCTGTTTAAACGATTGGCAGAACAGGGATTAGGAGAGATAGAAAAAAAAGAACTCTACTAAGCGCTACAAAGGAGAGGAAGTTGTGGAGAGCTATCATCGCCCAGATCCTGAAGATTTTTTTTTCTGTGGGTGAGTTGGGGAATTTCTTTTTTTTGTTCATTTGATTTTGGTTTTATGGCAATAAACGCCAAATGAATTAGATTTAAATGTGATGTTTTCTGTTTGTTTTGTTTTTCACGCACAAAAAAAAGCGGAAAAATAGGAAAAATTCGAAATCCTTCCCCTTACTCACAATTTCAATTTTTTGTGGCTTCGTTCAGATTCCGGACAAATATTATTTAATATGATTATTCTCACGAAGGCGTTTCGTCCATCTCCTGTCGGAGACCCTACTATTGTTATTGATGTAGTCATTTGCTTTCAAACTGATTCGACCGATACCGGTATCAGTGCTGTCCAATTGTCGGCTCAACGCTTCTTTTTTTTTTCTGCACTTTTAGAACATTCCAGTCGTGCCTGCGAGTCAAAGAGGGGTGGCTTGATTTCTGACGCCTGGTGAATGAAATGCTTTCAGCTTCATTGTGTTAAACACTGATGTAGGGTGAGGAAGGGAATGAACTGGCAAGGAAAGGCGACGAAGTGAGGCAGAAGATAGAAAGTAAAAAGATTAAGAGAGGGTGATGGAAAATGAAATAAATGAGTGGAAAAAGAAAGGCGGGAAAAAAAGGAAGATGGCGGAAGAGGAAGAAAAGGAAACGAAAGAGGACTGTTAAGAAAAAAGAAGAAAAAGAAAGGAATGGAAAGAAAGAGGTTATTGGAAGAGAAGGGAACAGTAGAAGCAGAGCTACAAAAAGGTAAGAAGAAAGAAAAGAAAGAAAAGAAAGAAAGAAGAAAGAAGAATGATGGCAGACGAAAGTAAGGATCAAGGAAGTAAAAGCTAGGAAATATGAAATGAAGAAGAAAAAGGTAGATATGAAAAAAGGATGATGGGAGAGAAAGAAAATGGACGAAGAAGGAAAGTCTAAGAAAAAAAGAAGATGAGAAGAAGTAATAATGAGATAGATAGATAGATAGATAGATAGATAGATAGATAGATAGATAGATAGATAGAATGAATGAATGAATGAAAAAAGAAAGAAAGTATGAAAGAAAGATAAAGAAGAAAGAAAAAAGAAAGAAAGAATGAATGAAATAAAGAAAGAGAATAAATGAAAAAAGAAAGAAAGAATGAATGAAAAAAGAAAAAAGAAGGAAAAATACATAAATAAAAAGGAATTAAAAATAAAGAAATTTGAAAAGAAAATATAAGATGTAAATAAAAAAGAAAGAAAGAAAGAAAGAATGGGAAAGAAAAAAGCAGCAAGCACAAAGAAAGATGTAATGACTGAAGAAAATGAGAGAGTAAAAAATAATTAAAAAGGAAATAAAAATGAAGGAAGTGTGAGAAAGGAAGATCAAAGAAAGAAAGAAAGAAAAAACAAAGAAAGAAACAAAGAAATTAAAATACAGTAAAAGAAAGTAAAAAGAAAGAAGAATGAAATTAAGAAAGAGATAAAAAGAAAATAATGAATAAAAAAGAAAAATGAAATAAAAATATAAGAATAAAGAACGAGAAAGAAATTGAAATCAAAGAAAGAAGAAATAAAAGAAAGAAAGAAAGAAAGAAAGAAAGAAAGAAGAAATAAAAGAAAGAAAGAAAGAAAGAAGAAATAAAAGAAAGAAGAAATAAAAGAAAGAAAGAAAGAAAGAAGAAATAAAAGAAAGAAAGAAGAAATAAAAGAAAGAAAGAAAGAAAGAAAGAAGAAATAAAAGAAAGAAAGAAAGAAAGAAAGAAGAAATAAAAGAAAGAAAGAAAGAAAGAAAGAAGAAATAAAAGAAAGAAAGAAAGAAAGAAAGAAAGAAAGAAAGAAAGAAAGAAAGAAAGAAGAAATAAAAGAAAGAAAGAAGAAATAAAAGAAAGAAAGAAAGAAAGGGAAAATAAAGCTAAGAATTTACCAAGAGATACAAAGCGAAAGAAAGAAAGAAAAAAAGGTATTAAAATTAAATGAAAAAGCGAAAGAATTGAAGATCCAAGAAAGAAGGAATGAAAAATAAAATAAAATCAGGAAGAAGGAAATAAAATGATAGAAATTAAGAAAAAGAAAGAAAAACTGTATTCAGATAAATTAAAATATGAAAAAAAAATTTAAAAAACACTGAATGAATGAAAGTCTTTGACTCATCTCGATATCGAATTAAAGGAAGAAAAAATTTGGAAAGAAAACGAGACAAATCCAGAAAAAGTAAGAAAAAAAATGGGTTGTGGGGGTCTAACCGGAAGGCTTAGACTCCATTCGGAGAGTGTTCCAGGTCCATTGTCTTTTCCCGTCCTACCAATCCCTACCCCCTGACCATAACCAGCGTTTCTTTATGTTCGCCCTTCCTACCCTGACCGGCCGACCGCACGCCTGCCCTCCCGCCCGCCAACTCGAATCAGTATGAAAGTCAGGTAATGACTGTAGGGAACAAAAACTATGTTAACAGAAGAAATCCAAGGATGATGGGCCATATCATAATGCACATCTCCAACACCATACCGCAGAATGCAACCCCAATCCGTTACCACAAATAGGACTGCCTTTGCATCACTCCCCACCCTCGCGAATTTTAGTTTCAAATAACAACATTATTGTCATCATCATCATTCTCATAATAAGTGGTTTGTAGCAAATATTATCATTTTATCATTTTCTTTCATGTCTGTTTTATACTCATTTCGTTCCCGATCCCAGCCAGAAACTTAGAATAAGACATTTACATATCTATCTATCTATCTATCTATCTATCTATCTATCTATCTATCTATCTATCTATGTACATATCTATCTATCTAGCTGTCTATCTATCTGTAGTTATGGCCCACCAGTAAAGCTATCTATCTATCTAGCTAGCTAGCTATCTATCTAGCTAGCTAGCTACCTGTCTATCTATCTGTAGTTATGGTCCACCAGTAAAGCTATCTATCTATCTATCTAGCTAGCTATCTATCTAGCTAGCTAGCTAGCTGTCTATCTATCTGTAGTTATGGTCCACCAGTAAAGCTATCTATCAATCTAGCTAGCTAGCTGTCTTTCTATCTGTTCAGACTTATGGCCCACCGGTAAAAACTATCTAGCTAGCTAGCTAGCCATTTGTCTATCCATCTGTAGTTATGGCCCACCAGTAAAGCTATCTATCTATCTAGCTAGCTATCTATCTATCTAGCTAGCTAGCTAGCTAGCTGTCTATCTATCTGTAGTTATGGTCCACCAGTAAAGCTATCTATCTATCTAGCTAGCTAGCTGTCTTTCTATCTGTCTAGACTTATGGCCCACCGGTAAAACTATCTAGCTAGCTAGCTAGCTATTTGTCTATCCATCTGTAGTTATGGTCCACCAGTAAAGCTATCTATCTATCTATCTATCTATCTATCTATCTATCTATCTATCTATGGGGTCCACCAGTAAAGCTATGATTATGGTCTTACAGTTTTTTTACCTTATTTGATCCGATCCACTTGCTTGGATAGTGCGGTTGACCTGGACGTTGGAATCCCAAAATATTGTTTTGTTTTAGTTTCCGAGATAGTCTCTGGTTTCTACTGATGGTATTTTCTACCGAGTCGAACAAAAATTCGTAGTGTATGACTGCCATTACCTTTTTAGCCCTTCTTGCTGAATTCATGGATTATGCGATTGAAGTTTTCACTGCATTCGCCGCAGTTTTCTGTAGTTTTCCTTACGTAAGTTACAATAACCATAACTGTCATTATTCGGACGTGAGATTTTCTCTTATCGTTTTGATTTCATTGTTTCCTGCAATTGTTATTATCATTTTTGATGGGGGGGGCGTATTCTCATTTCTTTTCAGGTTCCAAACAGACACCTAAGGTCAGAAATGGTCACATGACATTTTCCACTGAGTATTTTTGAGAAAATAAAACTAAAAAACTAAGATCACACCCATTTTATATAAATAAAGTCCTTCGTAGGTTGTGGGTTGTACTTGTGAGTACATTTTTTTTTCTTTAAAGCTTGTGGTACTAGGAATACTTTCAATGTGTTTATCTATCTTTCCCAGTCAATCCTTGGGCTCCAACTACAATTGGAATTGTTGATGTCCTCATGTGCCACATTTCTGTGATTTCAATTTCAAGGTCCTTGTATTTTGATAGTTTTTGAAGATCTTCAAGATACATTACAGTCTGCCATGTCAATAAGAAGGCACATGATCACGAGGTTTTGGTGATTTGCTTAGTTACTTCTGTGTGTATTGTAAAGTTCCATAAAATTGTCACAGGTCCTATCTAGGTAACCTACGTGATGTTCACACCAATTTCTTTCTGTTTTCTTTTCGTAAAAGTTGCAGATTTTCCAATGCCATTATTGGTACACTCTGTCATGTCGGTTTTTATATTCAGTTGGTGCCAATACTTTTCAATCTGATGCAAGATGGTCAATAGTTTCTGGATATTTATTAGAGAATCTGCATTTCGGTTCCACACAATATTTCAGAATGTTTGTTTGTTAAGTTCTAGTTAGCTAGTATTTGGCCTGTGCAGCAAGAATAAAATTTTCGGTTTCAACTTTTAACTCTGCACTATGTAACCACCGATGGGTATGAAGTTTGTTCAAATCAGCGTGTTTGGTACGGGCAGAGTATTGAAGATGAAGAGATTTATCTTACCATCGTTTCTGTAGTTTAAAGGTATCTTTGAATTTAATTGTTGTAGCGTTGTAAGACAGTTCTACTTAAACTAATTCTCTGCATCTTTCGGATAGGGATGCATAGAGAAGATCAACATCAGCTTTGGGATGGTGCATACGATGGCAAGTGAAAAGTTTTCTTGTTTTGGCGTCCATTCTCTTAATGTCAGCTTTGGTCCAGTTAAGGATGTTGAAACTGTATTGCACCACTGTTACAGCCAAGCTGTTTATGGCTGATATTTTGAATTCAACTTTGTATTTAATACCAGATACACATGCCTATAGTATACTTTACTTAGAGTGTGGGACACTATCAAAGGCTTTACAGTAATCTATCCAAGCTGTATTGAGATTTCTACTTCTTTTCCTGCAATTTTCCAATATCATTTTGTTTATCAATAATTAAAGAATGCTGTTTTCATCGAGAAAAAAAGCACAGTTCGTCAGAACAGACGTGGCCAATTTATGTGGTGGTCAGGCATGTTATTGGCCTGTAATTTGTTTTACCCGTTATTTTTTTAATATGTAATACCTTCCGTGATCAATTCTTGGATATCCGTGGGATTATTCATTAGTATTGATAAAGTTTGTGCAAGTATTTTATAGATGTATGAAGGGAAAATGGATTAATGACAGATGAGAAAGCCAAAAAATTGTTGCCAATTCTTGTAGAGTTTTATCTTTCATTCTTTCTTCTTCTCGTTTGATTGGGAGTATATTCCTTTGCGATGCTCCGAATATTCTCCCAAAGTGTTTGCACATTTTCAATAAATGTTGGCTTTTTTCTACTACTATAACTGCTTTTCCAATTATCGTTTTTTTATTATTATTATTATTATTATTATTATTATCAGAGACATAAGATAAGAAATGTCATCATGGCATTTTACATTGTAAAAATAGAAACTTATGATCACACATTTTAGAAATATGAAGGTATAAGATGTGAGTAAAATTTATTGTATTACGTTAAGGCATGTGTTAACAGGGATCCCTTCAATGACTCTATCGGAACCTTTTCCAATCAATCTGAGGGCTCCAACTACAATCTGCAAGGAATGCCATGTCAATAATAAAGCACTTCGTTCCTTTTCTGGTCTTTGATCACGATGTCCAGTCGATTAGGTTTGATTATTATTCCTTTTATTAAAATCTCTTACCTTTGGTAAGACAAGTTATTGAATATAGTTTTTTTTCTGTTTTCACAATGTCTTATGTTAAATGATACAATATTTATATTTTTCGTTAATAAAACTTCCCTGGCCAACTGAATCGTTCCACATTACAGTTTATGAATCTCTTCTAAACAGAAGCTATCAGAGATTTTTTAATGAACCACAATTATTATAACTTAAACATATTTTATTATTATTACCATTATTCATTTTTATGTTCATACCACTTTCCTCAAATAACCTTGATTTGCTCAGCACTTTTGTTAACCTCAAAACCGCTGTTGTATTCTCGGTGTTAATTCATCTCAGAATCTACTATTTTTCCAATCTTTTCCCTCAGGGATTTTGGAACATTTCCCTATG